AACTAATATTCACACACATTGGATTAACTATGGCTGAGGCTATTATCTAAGGCAAGCTTGTGCAAGTTCATTATTTCTAATGGAGGGACGCGACGCAACGCGCTCGCACTTTTCAGGCGCACTAGTTTAGATGGGGGCTTTTGTGATCGCGGTAACTCCAAATGGCTGAAGTTTGAGGAAAAAGCTATGAAAAATACATAAGTTTGCAACCCCATTTAAAGTTACAAATAATTCGCCAGCCGAGATAAATCCAGTGTTTTCGGAGAGAGTGCTGAAAGACTCATAGTGGATCAGCTGCTTAATTGGCGAATCTCGATGCGTTGCATTCACTGGGTTCAGCACAAATAGACGCTAAATGTAAAATCTAACAGTGTAGATCTTTGCCAAAGAAGGTTGACTTTACTAAGTTTAAATTGAAACTTCAGCTCATGTCAAATAACAGTATTGCACAGGTGGTCGTCGCGAGAATGCTGCTTTGCGCCACTCATTGGGTCGGCTGACTCGACTGCTTTTTTCCACAAACACAAAAAAATGTAAATCAGTGCATAACTAGACTGAGCCTTTACAATGACCAAACCGAAACCAAAACCTTTAAATAATGGCAGAAGTGAGACTTTCTTTCTTTCTTTTGTCCGTTCTCTCTAGTCATTATATTGTCATGTGTATAAAAGCAATAGTGCAAAATGTATATTTATTACTGCAAAGCTTCATTTTTGTTTGATGTAAACCATAGATTTATATGTCATAATTTAACAGTTGGACTTTTTATTGCATATAACTCGCGTTCAAGCACATTCAAGGCAGCATGATAAGGTTATTCATTGTTAGTAGTATTGTCATCATCGTCATCATAATATTTTATAATTATTAGACATTAATTTTGCAATTATTGCACAAATGTCAATAAGTTATAACAAAAGTAGTTAGTTCTTTTTTTGGTTTTTGTTAGTCCTAATTGATGTTGTTTTCAAATACAATATATCTGTTAATGTACAATTTGCAGTGGTGCTCATTCATTTTTGGTGGGTCCTTCAAAAAATTTTATGGTGCTCCTAATATTTTTGAAGTGGGGAGCATCGGTGCTACTAAGTAAAAAAGTAAATTTCAAGCCTTGCATTAGACAAATGCTATTTTTAACCGTGATTATTACTCAGACTATAATCTTAAAACCAAAATGTATAATTGTTACATTCTTACTTGCCTAATTACTCTGACTTGCCTAGTTAACCTAATTAACCTGGTTAAGCCTTTAAATGTCACTTTAAGCTGTAAAGTGTCTTGAAAAATATTTTTGATGAAATATTATTTACTGTCATCATGGCAAAGATAAAATAAATCAGTTATTAGAGAGAAATTATTAAAAATATTTTGTTTAGAAATGTGTTGAAAAAAAATCTCTCTGTTAAACAGAAATTGGGGAAAAAATAAACGGGGGCTAATAATTCAGGGGGGCTAATAATTCTGACTTCAACTGTGTATATAACCCCAAATCAGAAAAAGTTAGGACAGCATGGAAAACTAAAATATAAAGAAAAAAAAATACTCAAATTTATTGTCTTTTAACAGCATAAAACAGCATATTTGATGTGTTACTTATGAATTTTTATTATTTTAAATAAACATGCATTCCAATTTTGGTTTTTCCAACACATTTAAAAAAAAATTGAAACAGTAATGCATTTGCCACTTTGTAATGTTGCCATTTTTTTCACAACACTTAAAAGACGTTTAAGGGTCAAAGACATCAAGGACTTAAGTGCTTCAGGTGTAAATATTCCTGCAAACAAAGTGGGCAACAGTAAAGGGTCTTCGTTGTCCAATTTGTGCTTCAAAGTGCACTACACATCTTTTATTAGAGAAAAGTCGGGATTGCAGGCACACCGTTAAAGTACCTGTAACCTCTTCTTCTGCAGTCAGGGTTCAGTTATTTGCACTTTGCTTAAATGATCCAAGATGATTTGGCAGATCCTGGATCTTTTAATCTTGATAACTGATGTCACCCCCTTGCTGTTTGTAAGAGGCGACAAATGGGGCAACTTGTTGGCCTTGAGTTGCGACTCGTGTTGGTGGAAGAAGAGATCCTGGGGATTGAGGATTTTGATTTGCTGCCGCCATTATTTATCCAACACATCACTTTGGCTCATACTTCAACCAGACGAGAGGTTGGAAAGGCCCATTCCAATCATTTGGCTTGTCAGGACTTGCCTTTCTCCTGGAAGGCGCTGTTATAGGGTCAATTGAGTATTATAGACCCTGTGTTTATATGCTCAAGTAAATCATCACTGTATCCTTGATGTACATCCAGTGGATGTTCGTGGCTCTGTACATCCCCTTGTAGGACTTCGAGGTGAGTGAGGAGCAGAGATGATGAACAAATATCTAATCAATATGGCAAAAAATCAAAACACTAAAAAACGGATATTGGAACAAGACTTGGAGACTAAACTAAGAACTGAATTTATTTTCTCATCTGAAAATAAAAACTGGCAAAGATTTATTATACTAGAATTACTGACTGAAGACATGCCCCTGACCAAACTGTCCCCTTTTGCGATCCACAAAGGAATTACAGGAATTGCAGGAACAGTAAAAGACATTTAAAAGCTGCGATCTGGACAAATTTTGGTGGAATGTGCTAAGAAAGCTAACTCAGAAAATTTACTACAAGCAACAACTTTGGCTGGAATTACGATAAAAGCATTCGCTCATTCTACCTTGAACAACAGCAAAGGTGTTATCCGCACCAGAGAACTACAAGATATGGATGAAATTGAAATCGCTTCAAAATTAAAACCAATAGGTGTAATTGACGTAAAAAGAATAATCATTAAAAAGGATGGACAGATAATTAAAACAGGAACATACATTCTGACCTTCAACGGACCACAACCACCAGAGAAAATCAAACAGGGATATTTAAGTGTTGCTGTAGATGTATTCATACCAAATCCACTGAGATGTTTTAAATGCCAGAAATTTGGTCATGGATCTGCAGGGTGCAAAAATAAGACAACATGTCAAAATTGTGGTGAGGATGATCATGGAATGAACTGCACAAAACCTCCTAAATTTAAAAACTGCCTTGGAGATCATGCAACCTCATCAAATAATTGTCCCATTTGGCATAAAGAGAAAGAAATACAAAAAATAAAACACACAAGGAAGATGAGCTATCCTGAAGCTCGTAAAGCCCTGCCTTCAGTCTGAAAAAGCCCTATTCTGTTGTAGTCACACCAAAAACTCAAGTTGTCAGACGGACCTAACTTGGTTATTTAAGGACAAACAAACCATAAGCAACACCAAAAATTCAACTTCCCAAAAAACTAAAAATGAACTCATTCAAACTGGACCAATTCCAGACATATACCTAGAACAGAAAGAATCAAAGGTAAAAAAAAAAAAAAAAAAAGCTCCAAGTTCAACAAATCAACAACCAAATCAAGATAAATGTCGAACTCACAAAAATGACAATCCTAAAGATATTGAGATGACGGAGACAACGACCAGTCGTAGTCATAGTCTCTCACCTAAATGTAAAAATAAAGAACCTGTACCTATATTTCCCACTTGAGAATAAACAATCACTTAATACAGTGGAATTGTCGGGGACTAAAAACCAACATTTTTAACCCACTTGCCTATTGTATTCAGGAAACCCACTTATCTCCAAATGATGCCTTAACTTTTAAAGGTTTTAATACGATTAGTATATGCGAACCAAATATACTACGACCCTCTGGAGGACAATTGCCTTAACCAGTTGTTTATGTAAAAAGATGGAAAGAATGAATAACAACCTTATTGTCTGGACACTGGAAACAAATAATCAACTCACTGACTACCAGTGTGGATATAGACGTGGAAATAGTACACTAGATCAGTTAATCCGACTGGAAACTTATGTCAGAGATGGATTCATCAGAAAAGAACATGTTATTGCTGTTTTCTTTAATTTAAAAAAAAAGCATATGATACAACATGGAGATTTGGATTTTTTTAAAGATCTTCACCAAATGGGATTTAGAGGAAGTCTTCCTACCTTCATTTCAAACTTTCTCACTAGAAGAAACTTAGACACAGAGAAGAAACTTAGAAGAAACTTAGAAACAGAATCCAAGTGGGAAATTCCCTGTCAAATACTCACCAACTAGAACTCAGAGTTCGTCAAGGAAGTATACTCTCGGTCACTCTAAAGTATTAAAATAAATAGCATTGTGGAAATCATTGCACCAAATATGTTCTGCAGCATCTACGTGGATGATCTATGTATCCTTATAAAGACCACTGTTTTCTGGGCAGTGGTGAGCCTGGGTGTGAGGGCCTTTTTAGTGCTGCTTGTAGCTTTAATTATTCCATCACATTTTTGTGGGTCTAAACATCAAGCAACTTTGCACACACTTTTTGTGTCCGTTTTTAGAACTCAATTATATGCATTGTCTAGCCTCATGACGATTGCAGGGGTGTCCAAACTCGGTCCTTGAGGGCTGGTGTCCTGCTGAGTTTAGCTCCAACTTGCTTCAACACAGGACATTTCTAGTATATCAAATAAGAGCTTGATTAGCTGGTTCAAGTGTGTTTGATTAGGGTTGGAGCTAAACTCTCCAGGACACCGGCCCTCCAGGACTGAGTTTGGACACCTCTGGACTATTGTAACTCCTTCAGTTATTTATTGCATTCTTACAGATTGTACAAAATGCATAATTTGATTAAAGTATGCAGACGGATATAATTTGCATTGTTTTTTCACAACCCCTCATTACTTATCTACACCTGTTTTACTTCATATACAATGTAAGATGCTTCAGAAAGGAACCAATAAATAAATGTCTTGCTTTATATAGTTACTTACTTTATTTTTATTCACTTGCAGCGATGTTGGGCCTGATGTATGTATACTGGACTCACTTGAACATGTTTCAGACCCTTAAGTATCTGGCTATCATAGGCAGCCTGACATTCTTGGCTGGGAACCGTATGCTGGCACAGAAAGCAGTGAAAAGGTACAGTATCCATGAATATTTTAAATATTTCCATAACGTATTTTGTTCATTATGAGATACACTCAGATTAATCCAATATTATTTAATATTATTCCTTTTAACAGCACCATCATAGTTTGTGCTTCATAGTTTTGTGGGTTCTTAAAATTTCTATTAAATGAAAATGTGTAAAAACAATAATTGGAAATGGCATACCATGAGCTCCGAACACTGTTGTTTCTGTGTTCTCTTGTAAATTCTTTGAGTGTAAAATACCAGTGAAAAACAGGCCTTATGAAACAATTAGTTCGGGATCAAGCACCAAAGGTGTGGGCACCTATTGTATTCGTTCCGGTTCTTATTATTATTCCTCTGGCTTCTTCCACTTCTTTTTCTTCTTCCGCTCTGGTAGTCTATGGCACCCCTATGAACTGTTTGCGGCATTTGCGCAAACTTTGGCACACTGTGTTGAGGACAGTCTGATCTTCAACCACAACAAATTTGGACATTTAAAATCTCTAGCCCCACTACTTGTTAAAAATTTTCTTTTGTGTTTATCTTTATTACTTTTAAACCAAATGTGCTACAATCAAAAAGCCGATTCAAACGCACCATATGATGTCATTTTTCGTCATGAATTTTTTCCGTTATTTCAAATTTTTTGAAAAACCTATTTAAATAAACTCGTATTTTTCCAATTTAATTTGAATTCTATCAAAATGAAATCACATGATCTGCAGACCATGATGACAAAAATTTATGGAATTCAAGTTTAGTCTTACTGTTTTTGTTTAACTTGCAAACAAATTTAGCGTAGAGCTTGCAAAACTATATTTATGGTGTTATCTCTGTGGTGCATTGACGTATTTACACCAAACTTGTGTATTATCACATCCATGCCCTAAAATGAGCTGCTGTCTTTTGCCACACTGCCCACGAGTGGTTCAGAGATACAAAATTGACTTTTTTTGCTTATTACTTCTCAACCCTTTGTCCAAAATTTTTCCAAGGCAGTCTTTTTGGCCATCTGCCATTTTGAATTGTCAAATTGCTATATTTTATGGATGCACTTGCAAATTATGGAAGTTGGTATGTGTCTTCGGGACTGTTTGCTGAAGGTTCTCAAAATGTTTCGTGGCAACGCTACCTTTTGGCCAAACATTATAACAATATTTCTAAAAATGCTAATAACCTTTGAATAATTTTGCTCATTGTTATGATATTTGTCTTGATACATTCCTTGGGTTTTTCTGCAAATTTTGATACCAGTAATGCCTTAATCAACAGAACTTCTTGTCCGCCATCTAGCCTTAATTCAAAAACCTACTTTTTCTTACTTCTCTTACATAGTTTGGCTGATTTGCACCAAATTTGATTCCGATCATCTTCAGACTTTGCTGACCAACAGTTATGGAATTTGTGTCGATAGGTGTAACGGTTTTTCATTACTGCACTGACAAATGTAATGGTATGATTCCCAACTAAACCTGAGGCTGTATCTCTGCGATAGTTAAAGATAATGCCACCACATTTTAGGTCTGTCATTGTCGCCTCACACTGACCACACCATGAAAATTTGGTGATAGGGCCACCTATGGGTCAAGAGTTATAAGACATTCATTAACCATTATTAATGAAACTTACAAATTTGGTAATAACTTTTGATTGCATATGCTTATTTTGATGAAATTGGTCTCAAATTATTTTTTGGTTCATGCCGACAACACAGATACCAATTATGCCATAATCTGCCATTTTGATTGTGTTCAAACTTGACGTGGATCATCTTCAGACCATGTAGACCAAAAGTTATGGATTTCATGTTGCTAGTCAAAACTGTTGTCATTTAGCATATGCGCAAACTTGATGTAATGCTGCCAGATGACATGACAGGCTGAATTACTGCTGTGGTTTGAAGTACCGAAACAAAACTTAATGTTTGATCTAGACCTGACATTGACCAAATTACATCAGTTCGCACCTTCTTTACCATTAGACTCGGGGTAAATTGTTAACAGACTTCTTTTTAATTTCACATGGTGAAATATCTTGTAAGTTTTTTACTAAATTGTACTAAATGTTACAAGACAAATACTGTTTGTACTACTAGTTTTCATTTACAATAATGTTTTGCAAATGCCACTTTTTTTTTTTTTTAATAACAGACATCATACATTTCAGACACGTACAGAAGGTTTCATCTGCTATAAGGGTAAAGGGTCTGAGGTGATATTGGGGCCCCTAAGATGTTTTGACATGCCCTGACATTTGTGCTTATTTCAGCTACTTATTGAATAATTGAATTGAATACTCATGAATAATTTACAGCTGGAGAAAAAGACATTCCCCCACTGGCTAATGTTCACCTATCAAGGGCATTGTAAAGCAATGTCCAGCTGCAAAAGCTAGCCCAAACTAAATGCTTATTGTATTACTTGCTCTTATTGTATTATATTTGTGCATATACATTAGTCACTACTGAAGTCAAATCTGGAGCTCATCAAACACAATAACTTAAGAAAATAGTCGAAAATTAGTATACCCAAATTTATATGTTAAAAGATTAATTTCAAAAAAAGAGAAAAAATCAAGAGATGAACAAAATAGAAAAAAATTTGTTAATTTTGTAGGTTGTAATTATTTTTGCAATATTTTGCTTGAATTTATTTGTATTATCTTTCAATTTCTATATATGTTTGGTGACTAAAATATTATTTTAATAAATATATATGCTTAACCAATCTGTTTTGTTTAAATGCACCAAAAATACGTTGCCTATATTCTCTGAGAAATGGATAAAAATACTGATTTTCAAAATGGAGTGTACTCAATTATTCTGAGCGCTGTATACAGCATGCACAATATAGATTTGAAATGGTAAAATATGTTTGCAAAACTGTTGTACTAAAAACTTTCTTGTGCATTATTCCCGCATTTAATTATAGTTTTTGATCGACTCTGACACTTATTGGTGCTAGGTGACTTCAACATTTACGTTGACAAACCGCAAGCTGCAGACTTTCAGACTCTGCTTGCCTCTTTTGACCTAAAAAGAGCACCTACTTCTGCTACCCACAAATCAGGTAATCAGCTAGACCTTATTTACACACGACACTGCTTCACTGATCAAACAATAGTAACTCCACTACAAATATCTGATCATTTCCTTCTGTCTCTCAACATCCACATTACTCCTGAGCCGCCACACACTCCAACACTGGTTACCTTTCGCAGAAACCTACGATCTCTCTCACCCAATAGACTATCCACCATTGTTTCAGACTCTCTTCCTCCATCTCGCAAACTCACTGCACTTGATTCGAACAGTGCCACTAATACACTCTGCTCCACACTAGCATCATGTCTAGACCGATTATGTCCTCTTGCATCCAGGCCAGCCCGTGCCAGTCCTCCTGCACCCTGGCTCTCGGATGCTCTCCGTGAGCATCGCTCAAAACTTCGGGCTGCAGAGAGAATTTGGCGGAAAACTAAAAATCCTGCACATCTCTTAACATACCAAACTCTTCTGTCCTCTTTCTCAGCTGAGGTTACTTCTGCAAAGCAGACGTATTACCGTCTGAAAATCAACAATGCCACTAATCCTCGCCTACTTTTTAAAACATTTTCCTCCCTCCTCTATCCTCCTCCTCCACCCGCATCCTCCACACTTACTACTGATGACTTTGCTACATTCTTCTGCACCAAAACTGCAAAAATCAGTGCTCAATTTGCTGCACCTACAACAAACACGCAAGATACAACACCAACACCACACACACTCACCTCTTTTTCTCAGCTCTCTGAGTCTGAGGTATCCAAACTTGTGCTATCTAGCCATGCAACCACCTGTCCACTCGATCCCATTCCCTCTCATCTCTTGCAAGCCATCTCTCCTGCAGTCATACCAACACTGACTCACATAATTAACACATCTCTTGACTCTGGTTTATTCCCCACTACATTTAAGCAGGCTAGGGTAACCCCACTGCTAAAGAAACCCAACCTGGACCATACGCTACTTGAAAACTACAGACCAGTATCCCTGCTTCCATTCATGGCCAAGATTCTGGAGAAAGTAGTGTTCAATCAAGTCCTGGACTTTCTTACTCAAAACAATCTCATGGACAACAAGCAATCCGGCTTTAAGAAAGGCCACTCAACTGAGACTGCCCTGCTCTCGGTCGTGGAGGATCTCAGACTGGCTAAAGCAGACTCTAAATCATCAGTCCTCATTTTGCTGGACTTGTCAGCTGCTTTTGACACTGTCAACCACCAGATCCTGCTATCTACGCTTGAGTCACTGGGCGTTGCGGGCACTGTTATACAATGGTTTAGATCTTATCTCTCTGACAGGTCATTCAGGGTGTCTTGGAGGGGAGAGGTGTCCAACCTACAGCATCTAAACACTGGGGTACCTCAAGGCTCTGTTCTTGGGCCACTTCTCTTCTCCATCTACACATCATCTCTAGGACCAGTCATCCAGAGACATGGATTCTCCTACCACTGCTATGCTGATGACACCCAGCTATACCTCTCTTTTCATCCTGATGATCCCTCGGTTCCAGCTCGTATCTCAGCCTGCCTGTTGGATATTTCACACTGGATGAAAGATCATCATCTTCAGCTGAACCTCGCAAAAACGGAAATGCTTGTAGTTTCTGCCAACCCGACTCTACACCATAACTTTTCAATCCAGATGGATGGGGCAACCATTACTGCATCCAAAATGGTGAAAAGCCTTGGAGTAACGATTGATGACCAACTAAACTTCTCTGACCACATTTCTAGAACTGCTCGATCGTGCAGATTTGCACTCTATAACATCAGAAAGATCCGACCCTTCTTATCTGAACATGCAGCTCAACTCCTTGTTCAAGCTCTTGTTCTCTCCAAACTGGATTACTGCAACTCTCTACTAGCTGGGCTTCCAGCTAACTCTATCAAGCCTCTTCAACTGCTCCAGAATGCAGCAGCACGAGTTGTCTTCAATGAACCTAAACGAGCACATGTCACTCCGCTGC